TGAGAAATGTAAATAGAATAAGAATTAGTAAGAAATGTAGGTTAGAGTCAGATTGTCTAAAAGTAGACTTATAGTCGGTATAATGTTGGCTAAAAGTCGACGTAGTCGAAATAAGGCTGCGCAATTGTCGGCTTATAGTTGACTTAAAATTGACTTAAAGTCGACATAGGCTGACTGATGGTCGACTATAGTCGAGACATTTGTCGTCTCTTATGCCCATTTCGACCAATGTAGATCAACTTTAATCTCGGTTCAATTTGCTCTTTGTCTTTTTCTAGTTCTAAAAATTAGAAAAAGATGAACAGTAAGTTAAATCGAGATTAAAGTTAATCTACATTGGTGGAAACGGGTATTAGTCGACTAAAAGTTAACATTCAGTCTTAATTTAAAGTCGACTTTAGACTTCTTCTGCCTACAAACAGTCAACTAACCTCGCAAATTAAAAAATCTCGCAAATTAAATAATAACCTCGCAAATTAAAATATGCAAATTGTAATCTGTTTTACTTATATATATGTATGTTCATTTTGAATTTGCACCTTGAATGATCTATTAATTACTATTCATGGTACATATTCAACATAGAAAATAACATACCGTATGTTCACTTTGAACTGGCACATTTAGTAATAGGTATATCAGTTACTTTTCGTGGTTATATATTATATTAGATAATATCATTTAAAGTATTAAAGGTTTAAATTATTATGTTATATTATTAGATAACCATTTTAATTTAAAAAGGTTCAAATTTTTGGGGTTAATTTTCAAAGGTTGAAATTTATTGGGTTTTCTACTTTGTGGTTAGGTAATCGTTTTAATTTAGGAAGGATCAAATTTTTGCGGTTAGTTTTCAAATGTTTAAATTTGTTGGGTCTTTTAATTTGCGAGGATCTATTTTTGAACATGGCTTGACCTTTTCATTTTAATGATATGTTAGGATTAATAATATATCAGTTACTTTTCGTGGTTAATGTATTATTATTAGATAATCATTTAAAAGAGAAAGAGAAATGCCTAATCGAGTCTTATACACAGGATGTTAGTGTGTGTTGATACGATTTATTGAAAATATACAATTTTTCTTACGTTTCGGTCCTCGATTTGTATATTTATCAAAGAACTTCTAATATAGAATACACATTCTGCTACATAAAACACTTTATATTAAAATGTACCACGAAAAGTAAATGATAGATTATTCAAGATGCAAATTCAAAATAAGCATACCTTCATATAAGTAAAACTGATTACAATAAAAATATTACAGTGTTCTAGAAAATAACTG